AAAGAGTAAGTGTTCCAGCTACTGCATTAAGCCAGATGTCCTGCAAAACCTGCACTCTTTATAGCTCACATTTTGTGACAAATGCAGGAAAGCCATTTGTTTTGCCATGATTGAAATCAGAGATAAAATGTGCATCCACCTCAATAGGGGGCAATCAGGAATAAATACTTCAGTTGCATATTTGAGGTCAGATTTCAAAAGAACTCTGCAGCTGTACAGCACTACAGCTCCCATATCAGCTCCCAGATAAGTGATTACATCTTCAGAGATAATTTACATCCTATTTAGACAATTAACAAAATTGCTAGGCTTTCAAAAAATAGATTCTCATGTTCTTCCTCAGAGACAATCACAATTGTCTTTTTTTTAGGGAGTCTTACCCCAGTTGTAGATGCTGAGCCTCTTTGATATGCCCTGTAGGGACCAAGACAAAACCATAAAAAGCAGTGGAAAAGCTCCCATGGAATTCAGTGGGCTTTGAGTTAGCCCTGCCTTGGGGCTGTTAAAAACTTTTTGTCAGAGCCATTTTTTCCAAAAGAAAGTATTTGGTTGAAAAAAAAAAGCTCCCCTAACTCCTCAAAATGAAATATTCTAGCTGAAAAATTAAATATTTTGATTTGGATAACATGCCATGGTGCTTATAGTTCCATTTTGTTAGGATCCCATCCTCCTTAGAGGCTGAATTTGAGACAAACAACATTGCCACCAGTCATGGATTCTCAGGAGGCAACTGCTTCCCTTCACTATGAAGGAAGAACATGGTGCATCATGACAGAGGTCATCTAAGTAGAGAGCCCTCCTCATAGAGGAACACGAAGCACCCAAACAATAATTCAGCGGTCATCACAGCAGCATTTCTGAACTGAAATATTTTGGGGTTTGAATTTTCAGAAAATAAAATAAAATAAAATAAAATATTCCAAGTGGGAAAATAAATTCTAACAAGTTCCTCAAGGAGAAAAGCCAAACTAGTAAATATTCCATATCTATACTACAGTGACTTTTTTGTCATAGCTGTTGGAATCATAACTTTTCTGTTCTCCAACTTTGTGAGTTTTAAGAGTTCATCCTTAACATAGTTATATTTTAGATTACTGCAATTTCTTTCTTTCTTGCAACATATAAAAAAAATAGTATGGCTGGGGATGGGGAAGGAGGAAGAAATAATATGTGCTTCAGTAATATTGGCATTCAAATGATCCCATTAAGGTCTGAAGTTCATACCTCTCAGTAAGATCAATGGAAAAAGGGCATGCTACCTACTTAATTGCTACCATTGTGCACTGTATCATTAGATAAGTTTCCTCAAAGCTAGGATAACAGAACTGCGTCAGCATATGCATTTAGATTATGACACTGCACCTTCATGATGGAAAGAAATGGAAATGTCAGCCTAACAGTCAATTACACTAAAATTTAGGCACCTGAAGAATGGATTGATTATCAGAAGCGTTCAGCACTTTTAACTGTTCTTTGCGTTAGTAGGAGTTACGAGCGCTCAATGATTATAAAACTTCAGACCCTTTTTAAAGCTTGTGGACAGAGAACTTCATATTCTATGGCTGGGAAGACACAAACTTTCCTCATTAGGAAACTAACCTCAAAAGTTAAAATGAATAATAAATAAGGGCTTATCTACACTTGAAAATTTAGAAAAACAGCTATTCTGGAATAGCTCCCTGCACAGTCACTCGTATTGTATAATACAAGTATCAGCAGGGGACTTTGCCTGAAATAACTAGACCAATTCTTCTGGAATGGCTATTTCAGTAAATTCCTGTGTGTAAACACCACCCATGAAGAGGTATCTAAGAAGCATATGCAAAGATGACACAGTTGTAGATTATACCATAAATTATATTGGGCCACATTCATTCTGCTACTTCAATGAAAGCAAAACAAATTCCCACTGTGTGCATCTCCTGATGAGTCTACACTCTCTCTTAGGTGGAATAAAGTTAACTGAATTCATACGCTGACCTATCTAGTTACCTGTTATGTCTAAATTTTCATTACAGCGTGACCTGGATTTCACAGTAGACTTGGATTTCAAAGGACAGCTGTGTGAAACGTCAGTATCTAATGACTACAAAATGCGCTAGCACGAGAGCTTCTGGAAATACAGAATTGTATCAAATCTTGACCTGCTGTGCTTCAAGCTAAGAACAATTGTTTGCAGGAGTCTTACCTTGACCCTAGAATGTTTACTTGGTTGGAAAGTCGGTAACTTGATCCCTCCTGCTGGTAGCACCAAGAGACGGAGTTCTACAACGAATGTACAGTATACAGAACTGTAGCTTTTGTTAAACATATAGGCAAACTAAGCAACTGTCTTGAGTATGCTGGTTAACTTTAGGATGGCAGAAGACACCCATACAAATTGTACAACTTACTGTGAATTTCTGGTTCTTCCAAGCTTTGCATGTTACAGATAATTAGGTCAGTTTCCTTACAACAAAAGACCACAACACATTGTCATGATGGCATTACTGGAATTATATTCAGTATACATATACATATATATATATATATAAAAGTATATATATTGTACATCAGAAGGATGCTGTTGCTTCATAATAGGAATTTGTTTTGTGATTAGTATTTATTTCCCATTAAACAACTATGGAAAGGTAACAGTATTAGCTCTGGTGTTAATCTAGCTAGACAGATGATCAGGCTTTCATTCACTGCCCTCCACTGTAGCTTTATGGGATATTCCATGCTGAACGTAAGTGTGAGCTAGAAGGTAATAGAAAAATCAGCAGCTATTTTTAGTGTATGAGTTGGAAAATATACACCTTCAATTTTAAATGTTTGTTTCTATCTCATTCAGAGATGGCAATCTGTCAGTTACTTAGGGAAAAAATGTCTAACCTTTCAGCATTTTAAAACATTTTGTGATGAGTTGTTGTAGCTGGATTTTGCATGAGACCCTCTTAAATTTGACATCTGGTATTTGAACGTGGTGAGCACAGGGCCTTTAAAATGGTAGATAATTCATGCTTTTTGGCCGTGTCACAGTTTAGTTCTCCTCTCAGCAACAATATCATACAAAATCATTTTCTCTCTAAAAAAGGGGGGGAGGGGGATTGGTGTTTACTCTTTTGGTGATGTTTTGGATAAGTCACTTTAACTTGCAAATCTTAGTCTCAAGAGTGCAGTGGTAACTGTTTGCTGAAATGGAGCAATGCTTTTTTAAAAAATCTGTAGCTTCTGGTACTATGAAGATGTCTGTAGTTCCCCTCCCCAACTCCACTCATTGTTTTTCTTTAAATATATTCAGCTTATAGTTAATATTTTAACTATTTATATTCTTTGATATGTATGTATCAACATTTTTTATTATATATAATTGTTGGGCATTTAATCATACCGTAATGAATTAAATGTTGTGTCACCCTTATTTGTGTGTCTTACAACCACTAATGATACTAGGCTCTAAACTGTGTTCTTGTCACATATTGGATAAAATTAATTAGCTTTCTCTCTGATTTTTTTTTATTCAGCTGCAAATGAAATGGGCCTGAAGTCATGAGAAGCTAACAGTGCTGAAGGTGTACACTCGTCCATAACTTTTTTTTTTTCTTTAAGGTTCTAGTTTTGCCAATATAACGACGGTTAGCTTTTCACTTTTTAGAGACATTTCTATTGATTTTCACTTCATTAGAGAGATGTACAGTACTTCCGTTTTCTTATGGTCTAAAGATTATGGTCTTGGGATCATGGTACATGGTATCTATGTAGAATGAAATTAAACTATAATTTGGCAGTAAAACAAATACTTCATTGTGCAGTTAATTATTATCCCTTTAAAACATTTTTTATGGTTATCTTTGGGTCAGTTGCTGATACTTTTATGCACAGAATAGGTAGGGCCTTACCCCTTTAAATAATCCTATTAATCTGACTGACACTATTTACAGTGTGAATGCAGGAAAGATAGCAAAAGATGTCCCTTTTTCCCATTATATAAAGAGTTACTCTCAACAAAAATATTATGCTCCTATCTAAATTGTTTTAATCCACTTTTTAAAAAGTAACTGCTGGGCTGACTTGAATAGAAAGGGAAAATACTTTTGCCCTTTCTTTCCTTTGTGCACTTGACAGTACTTCATGCAAAACCAGTGTCCCCTTTTATTTGGGTGTTTCATACAGTAACACAGGAAGGATTTCTTTTTAAATAGCAAAATAATAAAAATGAACAAGAAAATTCAAATGCAGGTGTTGCATTTGGAACTATTTTGAAGTGGACTAAATGTAGTCCACTTCACACACAGGCACCTAAGTTCATTTAGGGTGCCTGTAGACATTTGGAGATTGCTCCGATGCACTGTTATTACAGGGTGCCAGAGCAGACACAAATAATTGAGTCTGCTGGATCATGGGCATTACCGCCCTCCAGCAGACTCCAGCATCACATGTATCAGTGTCCCTGCACTGAAAAATGGCGGTGGGGGCACTTTAAGTAAAGCTTATTCCCCAAGCTTTAGTTAAAGTGCCCCCACCACCATTTTTCAGTGTGGGGATGCTGATACATGTGACGCTCTGGGCACTTTAATTAGAGCAGGTCTTGAAGCTGCTCTAATTAAAGTGACCCTCTTCTCGACACACACACTCCAGGAGTACATGTATAAATGCTTGTAGAGTTTTTGCACTCTTTTGAAAATGTCATGAAAAGGAATTTCACCAGTAGTCTGGATTTAATTCTGCTCTTTTACCCTGGTATAAGTTATAGTCAGTAGGGTTCAATTCTCAATTTACCATATACAAGGACTTTAATTAAATGCAAATCAGACCCTGTGGTGTTATATGGCTATAAACTGAATGTGTGAGAAAGGAAAATCATTTCTGTCACATATATACCATAATTAAGTTTATGGATTATGGGTTTTTACAATGTTTTCTTCCTGATCAGAAAGAACTAAAATCCAAAGATTAAAACAAAACTACAAACAAAAATGACCTTAAAATAATTAAGAGGAAAATATATTTCAATAGAGGCTATATAGTCACCAAAATAACCCAATAGTACATTTATTTTAAAAACATTGTGTAGCTTCATAATATCCTACATGCTAGGAAGTCTGGAAATTCACCTTTAACATTTCCTGTATATTCTCCCCAGCTGTAGAAAACATTATTCAACTTCCTCTCATTTACCTGCAACCACCCACCAAACCTTAAGTTGACCCTTTGTTTTCTATGCTGAATTATGCTGCTGGATTCAAGCTGTTGAATTTACATCTCATTTACAACGGATGAAGCCCAAGAAATCAGCCAATGGACCAGTTCAATGGTACATAATGTTGATGTATGAAGGGTGTTGTATATATATTGGTATAGGTTGTGTCATTGTACAGCCCTTGCTGGCATGTATATGTAATAAAAATAGGGTAGAGATACACCTTATAGAATCATAGAAAATTAGGGTTGGAAGGAACCGCAGGAGGTTATCTAGTCCAATCTCCTGCTCGAAGCAGAACCATCCTTAACTAGATCATCCCAGTTAAGGCTTTGTTTAGCCGGATCTTGAAAACCTCCAAGGATGGAGAGTCCACAACCTCCCTGGGTAACCTGTTCCAGCGCTTTACTTTCCTTCTTGTGAGAAATTTTTTCTGAATATCTAACCTAAACTTCCCTTGCTGCAACTTGAGATCATTGCTCTTTGTTCTGTTATTTGCCACCACTGAGAATAGGTGGTTGAAGGTTGCTATTAAATCCCCTCCCAGTCTTTTCTTCTCCAGACTGAATAAGCCCAGTTCCCTCATCATTTCCTCATAAATCATGTGTCCCAGCCCCATCACCATTTTCATTGTCTTCCACTAGACTTTTTCCAACTTGTCCACATCCTTTCTGTAGTGGGGGGGTCCAAAACTGGACACAGTACTCCAGATGTGGCCTCACCAGTGCTGAATAGAGGGGAATAATCACTTCCCTCAATCTGCTGGCAACACTTCTACCAATGCAGCCCAGTATGTTTTTAACCTTCTTGGCAACAAGGACACACTGCTGGCTCATATTCAGCTTACTGTCCACTGTAACCCCTAGGCTCTTTTCTGCAGAGCTGTTGCTTAGCTAGTCAGTCCCCAACCTGTTATAGATTAGTTAAGTCAGAAATGAATAATTTTTTGTGACCCGAAGCTCACTTTATGCATACCATATTTACTCAATTAGAAGACAATTTTTTGTCCTCAACCAACATGGGTGGAAAAGTCCCTCATGTTACATTTGCATACAAGGAAACTACATTAAATACACTGTTTATCTTTGAACTGCTGCTAAGAACAGCATGTGCTCAATAATAGAAACCAACTAAGTAGATTAAATGCAATCAACACTGAGCATGACTATAAAATAGTACTTACCACAAGTATAGATTAGTGGAATCCATCTGAGTAAAACATATGGCAGTACCCATTAAGCACAGTCCCCCTCAGCATCAACTCTTTTTAAGTCATGGTAAGCCACTACACTGCATACATTTTGACTTCCTCTTCACTCCTACAGCTAAGTTGTGCCTTTCCCATTTCCAATGATTCCTGTTTCTTCACCAGCCTTAAATGTCTGGCAAACATCACCAAATGGGGACCCAAAAAGTTTACCCAGAATCCCTCTGTCAGCCCCTCTCTCAGTCTATCAGATATGACTAGTGTGGCCCCATCCTCCATGAAGTGCAGCTAGACCAGGTTGCCCTATGTCTCATCTGCAAATCCACTTTTGGAGGATCCCAGAACTCATGACAAGAACAGCTGGTTCCAGTCATAAGTGGGGAATAATTAGCACATGGCAACTTTGTTGGGGGGATTTGAAGTACACACACATACTGAGTCACCATGGCTTGAAATCCTGTTGACTCTAGTAGGGCCCAGCCCAGTGAACCATAGGATAAAAATGAACCTTTCAGCTTCAAACTAATATCATGCACGGTTTGTACTCTCATTAAGTGAGTGTTAAAGTGCTATTTAAAAATGCATTATTGAGTACCCATGCTAAAACTTGCAGTAGTTTCAAAAAAAGGTAAATGCATAATTTCTGGGTGAACTAAATTTATGGTTAGTATATGAAAATTGCTGAAGTTATGTTTTTTTCAAGGTCAGTTTTTTCAAATTTATTCCTCACTTCC